GAAGGGAGAAGAGATGCTTAGAGAATAGTTAGTTTACTATTTAGGACAATATTGTTTATGTGGAATAGAAAGCTTTTGAAAGGGTAACAAGATAATTTTATTTTATTAAGAAGGGTACAAGGCTTTAGAATTGGATACAAGAGTTGGCTGGAAGTTAGACAAGCTGTAGCTTCAGTTTTCACTTGATTCATTACATTGGATGGCTTGATGCCTATTTATAATTGTTCCTAACCGACATAGCCCAAGTTCCACCGACTTCGCTTCTTCATTTACAGCCACTAGCATATACAACTTTCTAGACTTAACTATATTACTCTAATATAATATCTAGTTAATGTAGTCTTGCTCTAGAGAATTCCTCCATTGATATTTGTCTTTAGCCATATGTGTCTTGCATCTGGAAACTTCATCTTTCTTAGAGATTGATGAGTAGCAGACATTCCATCATCTAGTTTGTAGGTTCTTGAGTTTTCTAGAATTGTGTAGTTACATCTACACAAATATGCATTACTTTTTCAACACTGAGCAATATTCATCACCAAAATCTTATCAAAATCATCAGTTGTTGCAGTCAACCTGATTTCAAAGCCTTGGTGCTACAATACATGCCTAATGGGAGCCTTGAGAAGTGGTTGTACTCTCAAAATCAAAACTCTCCTTTGAATATCCTACAAAGGTTCAATATAATGACAGATGTTGCATCAGCATTGGAATATCTTCATCATGGTCATGGTCCAAATCATGTTGTACATTGTGATGTGAAGCCAGGGAACATACTACTTGATGATGATATGGTTGCACATGTTGCTGATCTTGGCATTGCAAGACTCTTAGGTGAAGGAGATTCTATGACCCAAACCATGACCCTTGCCACAATTGGGTATGGCTCCAGGTGATGTACTGTTGCTTGTTTACTTTTCAATTTAATTTATGTTGTCCTTCATTATGAACAAGGTGACCTTATGATTTTCCTTCATATATAACTAAATTCACATATATAATATTGCAGAGTTTGGAATGGAAGGAATCATTTCAACCAGAGGAGATGTGTATAGTTTCGGTATTGTACTAATGGAGACGTTCACAAGAAGGAAGCCAACTGATGAAATGTTTGTTGGGGAGATGAATTTAAAGCAATGGATTGCAAATTCATTACTTCCAGATGCTGCAATTGTTGAAGTTGTTGATGCCAATTTACTTGGGATAGAGGAAGATGGTGATTTTGTGAGCATGAGGGATTGCTTATCATCCATTATGAGATTAGCTCTAGCTTGTTGTGCAGAACTGCCGGAAGAGAGGATTAACATGCAAGAAGCTCTAGTCACACTCAATAAAATCAAGACTAAGTTTTTGAAGGACTGTGTTGGAGTGCAGTCTAATCATTCAAAATATATTAATTATTAAGAATAACATGTTTTTCTTACTCAGAGGAATTTGTGATTCAAGACTGGGACATGGATTATTTGACTTGGACAATACGAACTGTACTTGTGAGGGTTTGCACTCAACATTAATCCAATCTCCTTCCTTTGTTCTAACCTCCAAGCCAGCGACATCATGCTGAACAACAATGGTGGTGAAGTTCATGTCTGTGTGGCTCGGAAACCCTACGGTGGCATCGTTGTCCTCTGGTACTGTATATTTGATAAATCTAAGAAGGTGACCGTTGGAACTACGTACCAACCGGCCACTATTTTATATCTTAATATAATTTATTTATATTTTTCCTTAATATTATGTTAGAATTATGTGTATAATACGTAAATTTTGTAAAATATATGTGTATTAAAAATGTGAATTTTACCGAGTCTTTAAGACGTGTACAAAACACAGATGTATTATTGAAAAATACGTACATACGTTTGTAATATAGAATTAAACGTGAAAGTTCTAAATTCTCTTTATGCAGGTAATAATTCTGTAAAAGTAAAAATTCAAAAAGGGACAATGGAGACTCTGGTCATGGCCTAATAGTAATGGATAACGCTCTAAACGAAAATCACGGGAAAAAAAAAAGGGAAAAGGGTATCTAAATAGTATAGCCGCTCGGCTATACTATTTATTTTTAAAATTTTAAAATAAGCCCAGTAAAGCCGCCCGGCTATACAATTTTTTTAAAAAAAATTAAAAACCCGAGATACTGCTTATATAAAAAAAGGGTCCACCTAGCTATTAGGCGTCCACGTGTAAAAACGGTATAGCCGCCCGGCTATACCTTCGTAATAATAAACATAAAAACCGAGTATCGCCGCACGGCTATACTATTTTTAAAAAATTTTTAAAAAACCGAGTATAGCCGAGCGGCTGTACGGTTGATTAAAAATAAGGTTATTCGCAGCATTGGTCCCTCAATTATACCCGTAGTTACAGTTTGGTAACTCAATTCAATTATTAGTTGCAGAGGTCACTCAATTAGATGTTGTGTTGCACCGTTAGTCCATACCGTCAAGTCTCTCTAATGGCAGGGACTAATGGTGCAACACAACACCTAATTGAGTGACCTCTGCAACTAATAATTGGAGTTGAGTGACCAAAATGTAACTCCGAGTATAGTTGAGGGATCATTGCTACAAAAAATCCTAAATGAAAAGTCACATTTGCCCATCAATAATCTAAGATATGCTTGTCACGTAATCATTTTAAACAGAAAAAGTCACAAACTTGACGGAAGGACTAACGGTGCAACAAAACACCTACTTGAGTGACCTCTGCAACTAATAATTGAATTGAGTGACCAAACTGTAACTACGGGTATAGTTGAGGGACCATTGCTGCGAATAACCCTTAAAAATAAAAATACCCACCTAGAGATTAGGCACCCAAATGTCAAAACGAGTACCACCACGCGGCTATACTATATATATATATATAATTCGCCTAGCTATTAGGCACCCACGTGTCAAAAAAAGGTATAGCCTTGCGGCTATACGATTTCTTTTTATAAAATGCCGTAGTATAGCCGCGCGGCTGTACATAAATATATTATATTTAAAAGGTATCGAATGGTGCATTCTGTGGTGAAGCGACTCCATGTTCCACCATGCCAAAATAGTACACTTCAACCAAATTCAAGGAAAGCTAGAACATCCAACTTGAAATATATTATTCCAGGGATCATATCAGCAATACCCCTAGTGGATGTGTATAGTTTCGACATATATAACTAAATTCACATACATAATATCACAGAGTTTGGCATGGAAGGAGTAGTTTCAACGAGAGGGGATGTGTACAGTTTCGGTGTTGTACTGATGGAGACATTCACAAAAAGGAAGACAACAAATGAGATGTTTGTTGGTGAAATGAATTTAAAGCAATGGATTGCAAATTCATTGTTTCCAGATGCTGAAATAGTTGAAGTTGCGGATGCCGATTTATTTGGGACAAAGGAAGATCGGGATTTTGTGAGCAGGAGGGATTGCTTATCATCCATTATGAGATTAGCTCTAGCTTGTTCGGCAGAATTTCAAGAAGAGAGCATTAACATGCAAGATGTTGTTGTCACACTCAATAAAATAAAGATTAAGTCTTTGAAGGACTGTGCTGGAGTGCACCCTTAGTTTTTCTTTTTTTTTCTTTTTTTTTTTGTTTTGGATCCATTTTCTTCTTGTTTTCGATCTGAAAAGACTGCATTAATTTGTCATAAAGAGTTGCCTTTCTCCACTAATCTTTTCTTCTTCTGTCTTCATATGGTGGAAAACCCTATTTGTTCCTCCACGATTACCTTTACTTACAAGCAATGTAAGTAAGGGCATAGGTGGCCATGACAGAATTTTTTCTTCTTCTTTCTTCATATGGTGGAAAACCCTATTTGTTCCTCCACGATTACCTTTACTTACAAGCAATGTAAGTAAGGGCATAGGTGGCCATGACAGAATTTTATGTACAAAACACATTCTCTCTGGGTTTTGCTGATGGCTGCTAATACATTGCAGCACTGATTTTAATAATTTTTTTAAAAAAAAAGCACTATCATAGACTGAAGTTCATTTGCAACTTTGTTGACTCATCTAATCCAATTTGTGCTTATATAATAATACTATTAACACCCAAAAGTAAATGTGGATTGTACATAATCAGAGATTTATGGTGTTTATTATTTTAATAAAGCATCTATTACAACAAAACAAAAACAAAAACAAAATAAAAAAGAATAGTTATGTGTGATTTGTTCTAAATTGATGTGTCAAGTCCAATCCAGTAATGACATTTGTCGATGAAAATAAGTAACTTTGCGTGTTAGTCCCTATCCAAATGCGACAGTTGTCTAAAAGTGACACAAAGACAAGTATTTTGTGGAACATTGACGTGTCATTTCCAATCCGCAAACGCCACATTTTCTAAATATATTCCGTTGTAATTCTATATAAACAAGGTGCTATTCAAGTCTCACATTCATATTCACTTTTCCTAAAATCATTGTTCTTCGCTTTTATATCATGTCTCTATTCAAACCTTTATTTTTGACCAAATACTACCTACAAAATGTAGAAGGATGACATAAATGATTGACAAAATCGATCGAATCCATGATTTACTAGACAGAGAGCCGCAGCCTCGATCACTTCTCATGGTATGCGTCGCCTGAGACAGTTAGCACATCACATGGTAGCACCCATTTCCTATGCGGTTGTAGGAGATAGCCCTACTAATCTTGGCAACATACGGACATGAACCTTATGGACACGACCACATGGACATGAACCTTATGGACACGACCACATGGACATGAAGCACGTTTGGTTAGCATTTAAATGGTTCTATCTCAGTTTTTGTATCATGGATGATGAATAAATATGGATGTTGATATGGAGAACCATCCTAACACAAAGAGGTAGTAATTGGCAAACGGCTTCTTCTATTTTGGAGTGTTTATTTATCACAATGAACTACAAAACAGCAGGCAATGGCCCTTAAATTCACTCTAAATAAAATTTGAAGTGGCCAATCTTAAATTGTTTTGTGCAAATAATATACCTATAATTCTCCTTAGATCAGTAAGGTATAAATATGACATGAAGTCAGTCTCTTCTTACAGGCAAAAGTAAATTACAGAATAACAATTTAAATCTGAGGAAAAGATTTCGTGACTTTGGGATGGGAAGAGAGTTGTTTGCTACTACATCTAAAACTCCTTGCAATCTACCTTACTCCAAGGGGTAGGCATGCTACAGTCCTAAAAAAACAAGACATTCTAATCTGCATTCATTTACAATCCAACATGACGTAGAGGATAAAAGATCGGGCTCAAAATTCAAGACTGAAAATCGAAAGATGTATAACAATCCATATCCATGCTGCATCACATAAAATCCTCAGCATGCGATAATGGGGGTTTCTGTTTTCACGCTCGTTCATCGTTCACATGATTTGGAACTTCAGCTTGACTGTCCAGAGGCATATACTGTGCCATTATAGCTCTTATTTCTGAATCCATATATGACTGCAAAGGAGCATAGAAAGTATCAACAACCTGAAAATGTTAAATAAAAAAGACGGAAAATATTCGTGTCCTGAGATTATTTAACTCCCTAATAAAATCATGTTCCAAATAGAGCACATACTAAATGCAGTGTAAAGCAGAGCACATAGTAAGACCAACCTAACAGTTCTTAAACCTTGAAGGGTTCAACACACACCATAGTTAAAGACACTAGGAAGATTTTTTTTGTCAATTTTGACATAAAAGCTTCCCACATACAAGAGTCCGCATGTATACAGACAAATTTGTTCCATAGGCTTGGTTACTTTTGGAGTTTCTTTAACACAGATAATTCCAAGGCAAGATAACCTTAGTGGCCTGCCAATAGGTTGGGGTCAACACCCCAGTCAATATGCAGGCCTGGCCCATAGCAAGAAATGGTTCTACAGTTCTACTTTACTTCACCATGACGTCTATGGGAATGTTCTAGGTTTACATATTCAAAAATTAATGCCAATGAAGTGCAAAGGGTAATCTTTGCACAGCCAGAGTATCATCTGATGTATCCAATAAAAGCAATTTTATCAACCTCAGGAAAACAGCCACCAATATCACCACCACAAAATGGAGACTCAAGAATTACCAATGATATATGAAATTTGCAAAAGAGAAATAAAGCACAGAAAGCTCACCCGCAATCTATATTTGTACACAAGATATGCCCCACCGCCAGCCATAGCCAAGCCTATCAAAATAACCCACACAGCAGCCCATGCAGACTTTCCCCCACTAGCAGCCTTACCTGCACATTACCAAGGAGAGCACATCGAAATAAGCACTTGCATTATATATTTAGGACATATAAAGTTGAGTTAAAAGCTTGAGTTTCTGGACTCACTTATGCAGGTATCATGGTCCTTGATATACAGAAGATTCCCACTACACGAGCAGTCATAGCTCCCCCAGGTATTTTTACAGCTACATTCAGGGCACTGGCAAGCTTTCTTCTCTCTGCATTCATCAACATCTAAGAAGAAAAAGAAAAAAAGTTTAGCAACATTTAGGTCCAAGATATTTCATTGCAAACATTTTTTTCTTTCTAATTTGATCCAACAAGAGTTTTGTTTTGTCCTAATTAGGGACTAAAAAACATGACATGTACCAAGCCAAAAGAAAAAATGAACCAACCACAGCCCCGTTACTTTTTCTTTTTATTTCAAGAAATAAGTCAGATAGTCATGACGTATCCATGGGATCATGATGGTCTTCTTTAATATCACATTGGCTGATTTCATGAAGAGCAAGGTTAAGAAGTTCAGCATGGTACGAAGCCTTTAGATTGGTCTCCAGTTCACCGCATAAATGCATAAAAAAAAATTGAATTTGACCATTCAGATCTGAGCGGGATATTGGCTCAACAAGGATCATCCACAATGATTCGGATAAAGCTAAACTTCACTGACCTAAATGTGACATGAAGGCTTAAATGATTTCCACCAGGTCCAGGTATAACTTAACCAGCAGGGTGCAAACCCACTCAACGAGAGGCTTTAAAACATAGCTTGTAGATTCATTCTCAATGATTTGAAACTTAAACACCAAAGGAATACATAGAGGTGTGAATATACATACAATCCTAGGGGCTTGATTCCTGTGACCCAAAAATTCTTTGGTTGTACATATTGGTGCAGTTCCTATTGAGTGACATTACTTTTTATTCAGGCAAAGCCATATTTTCCAGTTAAACATGAAGCTAGAGAAAGATACATTAGCAGATCTATTCATGCAAACTCATGTGCAAGCACACCATTTAGCAAGGTCAAGTACTCCTTGTGGCATATGCCTTGATGCACCACTGTGATCAAAGTGGTCTGAACTTAAGCTTCTTAGACATCAATCCATTAGTGGACTTATGTTGTATTATTGTATTACAGTGAAAACAAACAACAGAACATGCCCAGACCTTAATTTCTAGTGGTCCAAACTAGAGCTTTTTTCACATACATTGTGTATTACAGTAAAGCTGAAAACCAACAGGACACACCAAGGCGGTAATTTCTCTTACCTTCACAACTTTTGACACCATCACCTTTAAACCCAGGAGGACACTGACATTGGACCTCTCCATTATCCTGCTCAGAAAAAAAACCCAACTTACAACTAAATGTTTTGATAGGACTCTCAAATCTAAAGTTATTTCCTGAGAGCATAATTTAATTTTAACAGAAAATGGGAATTAAAAAAAACCACTTACTGTGCAAGCAGAGAATGCATGCCCATCTCGAGCTTCATGCCAACAACCTCCATTGTTTACCTTGCACCTCCCAGGCCCACTTGCTGGAAATTTAAGGTAAATTCCTCAATAAAAAGTGAAGAATAAGGAAAAATGTTTGCAAAAAGGAAGAATCTGAGCTATTCTTTGATTATAATGAAGAAGAATAACAAAATAAATTTTTGGGAAGATTTACGTTGATTTGGAGCCCATATAGATATTTTATCTTTTAAAAAATTGAAGTTTGCAAAATGCAAATACAGAACAAGATCCTTACACACTAAACCTAGATAAGACCTTTTGGCTAATTGAACATAAAAGTCAGTATCCACAATTTTTATTCCCTCAACTTTGTTTTCCCTAATGTCATGTCTGTTTTAGCACAAACAAAAAGCAGAAGTTTTATATATTTTTTACCTTCACAGGTAGTGTAACCATCTCCTTTAAATTGCACACCATCAACCAGAGGGCACTCACATACCCTCCCACGAAATGTATCCTAAGTAAACAAACCAAAGTCACAAAGAACAAGAGTTAATATACTCAATTTTCTCATTTTTCAAGACTCATTAGCCAGTAAGTTACAATTTGTACCTTGCAGGCTGTGAGGTTGGCTGCTTTATTCTGCCAGCAACCACCATTATTATCCAAGCACTCATTTGTCTCGACATCTACCATGAGTAAATAGTGAATGCAGAACTCAAGTTCAGAATGAATAAATCAGAAAGAGATAAGAAACACCAGAATAACAAGAGGGGCTTACTTACCACTACTCAAACAAACAGCTGGCTCAGTAGTTTCCTCGAAACCAGAACAGATAGCCTTCAGAACTGCACCCTTCTCCAACTTTCCTGCAAGCAAATATTTTAGAGAGGGAAACTTCCAGATTGTTATCTAAGAAATATAAGAACAGGACAAAGGCAAACCTCGGTATTGTCGATTATTGACAACAAGGGTAGGCAATATGGTTACATCACCTCTTGATCCTTTCCCAACCTACAAAGAGCGTTCTTGTCAAGCAAGTATAAAGAAATAAACTAATATGACCAATTCAAAGAATTGCACTAAGCGGCAGATATTGATCATACACACTAAAAACATGTAAATGAAGAGGATATATATAGAACGAAAATGCATTGAACAGAGACAAATACCTGAGCATCTTGCTCTTCTTTCAGAACAGAATTTTCAGAGTCTGCAGTTGGGTCTCCCATACACTGCTCAACCTTCTTAATATCAAGGCCTGAAAATATGTCACATAAATATTTAAAATGAAGGCCACACTAATTAACCATTAATATTCTTAGAAACATTAGATGCAATATCTAATCATTTACCAAGAGATTTAATGACACTGTCAGCACATTCCTTGTTGTACTTTTTCTCCTTCATGGGGCATCTAATTTGAAAATCAGTTACATAGTCCCACCATACCCAAGGCTTGTTGGTCTTATTTACCACTTTAAAAACACATAGCTGCCTTAAATTTTCAAGAACCACATCTTTCCCTTCATAACCAGTGCTGAAGTCCTGTTCAGGATCAGGAGCACAATATCTTCCATGATTGATACACTGGGACTTGCACTGTTTGCTTAAGGTGAATGCTTGAGGACAGTACCAAGTTATATAATGAGGTGTGAACTGAGTGTAACCACCTATTTCAAGTATCTGTGCTGCACCCCTAAAATCCTTCATAAATTCCATCAACATGTCACATTTAACCCCACATTCATCATTGCTGTTGGTCCATAGTTCATATTCCACACGATCATCTGGGTGTGGAACAGCTTCTCTCCAGTCAAGATTCACATTGACCATATCACCAGAACTGATTGATTTCTTTAAAGTTTGCCCAAAACTTTTTTCAATGAGTGCAGATGGTATTGTTATGTTTTCAATGTATTTGGCAGTTGAACCATCCTCTTCCGGTGAGTCCATGGTTATTAATGGCTCCTCAATATTATCAGCAACAAGAACTGCAGAAGCCCCAGCCTTCTGGGCATTCCAAACCTTCAAGGCAAAGAAGCAATCTGGAAAGCACAAACAACAGTTTCAACACAAGCAATGCTGAAAAAACTCAGACAAATAAGCAATACTAGAAAGTATCTTGTAGGGACCTGCTAAGGGGGGTACTAGTTTTCTTCCCCTCCCAACAACCCCAAAAGTTCTCTCCGACTCCACTTTAATTTTTTCTACGACTAATGCAGAGATTTGAGAGAATGAGATTTCTGTATTGTTGACTTTTTAATATTTCAAAAATATCCCCAATTAATATTCTGTCTCCCCTTCTTTCTAGCCTATCCAAACAAGACTTCTCTTTTCTCATCTCTTATTTTCTCTCATATATGTTTCCTTCTCTTCACTCCTAGCTAAAATTGCTAAACACACTGTTAATAATAATAATTAAGAAGACATTACATCCATATAAGCCTGAAAATTTTTAAAGCAGGAATCTAGATTCAAAATAACATTAGGGCATCTCTTCAGTGACTGCCAACACCAACTACGACTCTAAACTGCTAACAAGACACAAATTAAGCAGATTTATAAAATGACTGTCTGTACAATCAATCAAAGAAGAGCTAAATAAGGCAAATTGACTAGACTTACCAAAAATGGCATCTCCACAATCGACCAAAAAAGGGGCCTATTGAAGCTCAAAATTTACAATATCAAACTACTCATGACTACAAAAAAAGCAGACCCAAAATGAACTAAAACACATCAATTGAACTTCAAACCTCATATTGACATTCAAATTACTCTGCAAAAAGGGTAACTCCTAAATTAACAAAACAAACAAATTGAACCTCAAAACTCATAGTAATCATCAAATTGTTCAAAACTACAAAAAGGGTACCTCCCAAATTAACAAAAACAATCAAATCGAACCTCAAAACTCATAACAATGATCAAACTACTCAAAAGCAAAGAAAGGGTACCTCCACGATCGACCAAAACGAACGTTGGGAGAGCTCCAGGAGTCGATTTAAACGAAATCCCAAATTCAGAGAATTCCTTGCAGCCCTTCTGATTCTCTTTTGGATACAGCACAGTACCCGCCATGCTGCCTCCGTACTGAGGAATCCCAAAGTTCCCAATGGCAGTGTCATATGTGCCTTTGATTTTATCTGGAGATGTGACCCTCAAGCTGTTCTTCTCCACCACAAATCTCGCACTCGATAACGGGGTCAAGGACAGCACCAGAAACCCTAGAAGAAGTCCCAGCAATGATCTCTGAAGCTCCATTTCAGAAGACAGTAGAGAAAGAGAAGGAGAGAAAACAGATGGGATTTTATAATCAAATTCACTGAACACAAAGAAATAATAAAAAAATAAAGCTCTCTTCTTTTTTTTTTTTTTTAATTTACTTTTCCATAATTTGTTGGGCTTATGATTTTGTTTCAGAAAAACCCAAAATGAAATTTAACCAAAAAAAAAAACTGGGTTGCTGTTGTTTGATGTTGTTGGATTGATGGGAAGTTTGTATTTGTGGATAGGCTCCGATTCTGATTCTGAATATGATGGTGTGACACTCTGAGAACTTGGAAGCAAAGATCTCTACTTTCCTTTGTTGTTGAGAGAGAGAGAGAGACGATGTATTTTATTGCTCTACATCAACGAAATGCATTTTACTGACTTTTAATCCTTTTCTTTAATTTTCTAGAAGAAATTAAGAGAATTTAGATTAGTGACAGATGGAGCTATGACGTTGTCTGAGATTCCAAAACTACCCTTCAAACGTATCATTGACGCCAAAGACTTGAGTGGCAATATGATCAATTCCAGTGAAGTTTTGAGTCTCCTGTATTTTACTTACCTAACATTTTCCCAACAAGTCTTCAACCCATTTCTCTGTATTTTTATATGCACACACACTCTCTCTCTCTTCTTGTTTTTTAAACGGAAATTTCCAATCTCATGATGACGTGTTTTATTTTAGAAATATGTTCATCCACATAACAATTGGATATTGATATTAAGAGTGTAATTAAATTAAGGACAGTTCATTCTGACCCCATTAAATTAAGGACACTTCAATATTGGATTACGGTTAAAGACAGTTAATGAATGTGTAGAGTTGCTGCTGCTATTTGGTCTAGTAAGCCATAAAATCCATCCTTCTCTTTCTTTTTACTTTTTTTATTTTATACAAACGATATTCTATTTAATCTAATCTAAACTACGAATAGGGAGATTCGAGCGTAGGGAGCACATATGTTCTAGCAAACTTGGCTAAGCCCATGTTTACATCTGTCTTTTCCTTTTTTGGTTCTGATAAAAAGCATCACTCTCTTTTTCTTTTGGCCCTGACTGATAAAAAGCATCACTCTTTTTTCTTCTGGGTCTGCTAAAAAGCATCACTCATTCATACCAAAAAGATAACAGATTTGTTTGGCCTCCCATAATAGCACAATGGTGGTTCGGTGGGGAAATAAATGTTTGCAACTGCTGCTATTCAGAGCCCATAAAGTCCTTTTTTATTTAATCTAATCTAAACTACGAATAGGGAGATTCGAGCGCAGGGAGCACATATGTTCTAGCAAACTTGGCTAAGCCCATGTCTACATCTGTCTTTTCCTTTTTTGGTTCTGATAAAAAGCATCACTCTCTTTTTCTTCTGGCCCTGACTGATAAAAAGCATCACTCTTTTTTCTTCTGGGTCTGCTAAAAAGCATCACTCATTCATACCAAAAAGATAACAGATTTGTTTGGCCTCCCATAATAGCACAATGGTGGTTCGGTGGGGAAATAAATGTTTGCAACTGCTGCTATTCAGAGCCCATAAAGTCCTTTTGGATTTGCAGGCATTGGTTAAAGAAAATATGTAACTGCTTAAATCTGTGCAGTGAGCCACAATATACATACAAATTCACATTATTTCACTTGGGATTTTAAGGATTTTCTGTTTTGGTGCTGATTTGAAGGAAATTTTAAGTGAACTAGTGTAATTCATTATTGCTGGTCTTCAATCATTGCATTCATGTTTTCTAAAACCATGACAGTTCTCTCCACATGCTTTAAAAGCACCCCATAGATCTTGTTTTTGATCCTCACACAAGCTTCCAATTCAGAATCATCTTTGTTGACAATCACATCTAACCAGTCACCAACCTTCTTAATCTGGCACATCATTTCAGCTACATGATTGTCTGATTCCATGGAAACAGTTTTGCTCTTGACTTCATCCAAGTAACTCTCAAAGGCAGCCAAAAACCATTTTCTACATTCATCATGCAAGCAGTTTTCCAGGTCTGCAGCTGCAGATAAAGCACTTCCCTTCACCCAATCTTGTGAATTTTCCTTCTCTATGGCCAATCCAAAATGAGCATCACTTTTATGCTTGATTTTAACTATACATGTACCCTTTGGTTTACCATCACCGTGAGTTTTACTTGATTTATGAGACTTGTGTTTAACCTCCATTGAAACACTACCAGGGCCAGAAGGTGGGGTAATAAGATCAGCTGCCAAAGCAGTTTTGATCCATGAAGTTGCATTTTTCTTTCGGTCCAGTGCAAGTACCAATGCTTCCCCGATGGAAGCAGGGCTGCTTGAATTTTTTTCATTAGCTTTTAGAGGACTAATGTTGGTCAAGGACTGAACAATCAATCGAGTTCGAGCCAGGTCATCTTGTAGGTCGAAAAATTTGTTTACTGATGGCTGCTGTTCCTCCCTCTTGGCTGACTGGAGTTCTGAGTATGTGCTGAAAAAGTAACAAGAAAAAAGAAAATCAGTAAAGCAAAATAGATACCAAATCAATAGAAATTTCACATTTTTCACATCCATCATTCATTAAGGAAAACAGACTTGATAAGTGTGTTGCAGAACTCTGCATAAGCATATCTTAGCGCACCTTAGACATTTAAGCAAACTCTCAGCAGCAGAAGCCTCTTGCAAAGCCTCCACTGCAGCAAGCACAGCAGCATCCCTGTGTCTTCGTACCTCCTGCACAGCAAATATGACATTTCTAGCTCAAACAGCTAGGAATTAATCAACGGTGAGGAACAGGCATCGTAAAGTTAAGTGAATCACACAATACCTTGCCAAGTTTCACTAGTGTTGGGGAGAGGGAGTTCCACACTATCTTACTTTCTGACCATTTAGTATCATTAGCCGGATTAAACAACGATGGTGGATCTAAGGACTGCTCACAATTTTTCGCTGAGACGGAGATCCTACAGTTGGAATTTTTAACAGATTTCTTAGCTATATCATCACTAATTCTTCTTGTTTTGGGACCTGACTTGTCATCTGAACTGTGACACTTAGCAGAACGAACTGGAGAAGCCTGTCAAGGCAGAAAGAGGAAAAAATATTTGATTAGGAAAATTGATGATTGATTCATGGTGATTTTGAAAAGCAAAACAAACTAGAAAACTAAAATGTCCCTGGAGCCGTACAAACTCATTTTAAAAACAAATTAAGTAAATTTTGTTCTTAAAATTTTCGTAATCACTGAACTTAACAATGAAGAAACAAGCAAATAACAAGCTCAAGCAGCGGACAGTAGTAAATCATCAGACAAAAGAGGTATTTGTGGCATGACAAATCTAATTACATATGCTTATAATACTAAAGGAAAATGATTGCTCAGTATTATGACAAGTAGAATTCATGGTTTCCTGCCTTAAAAGAGATAAAATTCATCGTTTAGGGCCAGCAGTACAATCAGTGAAATACATTTGCAGCCATCTACAATGACAGAGTTCTGTCCAAACAATGGTTAAGTCAAATTCTTCGTTCACTTACTGTTATTTACACCAACTTTAAATCATTTGCTGAAAGTTCATGCTGATTAACAGAGAATAAACTGGCGTACTTGTAGTAAATTTTACACTAACTTTCTCTAAATTATTCATCAAATTTCTAATTAGCAGGCCAAAAATGCCAAAAATCATTCCAACTAAATGGTACTCAAGTCAAATAGTTTCTGTTTAAAGGAATATGAGTTAAAAGAAGAAGCAGTGAGACACTCACACGAGCACTGCAGCTACGTCGACCAGTTGGCTTCATCCCATGCTTGACAACTAGGGAGTCTGCAACTTGTTCTGCCCCATTCCAGCTCTTTCTCTTCACTGTCAGCACAGACGAAGAAGAAGACAATGTCCTATCAGAATCACTATCTTTCTCTACAAAACTGGAGCTTATTTTTCTAAACCCCCTTGTCACAACACGCATTTCCCTCTCACCCACATCACAATTTCCAGGCCTAGAGGCCCTTTTCTTCTCACTTGGGCAGGACTTGGAGGCACTTAAAGATCGATATCTGCCCCGAGGCTTCTTCTCCACACCTCTATCCTTCTCGATTACTAAATCAGATGCCCCTCTAGAACTCACCAACTTATCTATAGCAAAAAGATAGGCAGGATTTCCAACACAGGGAAATCGACCCGGGAGAGGCCTTATACCTTTAAGCACTGGCACCGGGTGTGCTGCCTCCAACTTTTCGACAAATATCAACTGCCCAAGTTGCAGTTGGTTGCAAAGAACCATGTCATCCTGTTCTTGAAGCAAAGACACAAACATGGCATGTGAAGAATCTGAAACCTTCAAGTAAAACCCCTGATTAGGCCAAAGATCATCCTCTGCCAACACAGGAATGATGCTTCTGATTTGTAGTAACACGGGCTTTCGGTCGTTCGAGGCCTTTCTGGAACTTCCCATTTCTTCAACAAGCTTCACCAGAACCCCTGTACCCAGAGTTGCCATTTTCTTGGACAGAAAGAGAAAGAAAGAGAGAGAAAACAAAAGAAAGTACAAGAAAGTTACTGTTTTTTTCTCTACACAAACAATATTATAGTCACAAGTCACTTTCTTTGAATCTTTTTGGATGAAACTCAATGGCGACTGTGTCAAAAGCATGAAAATCTGACATGGGTTTTCGTCAATGGATTACTCAGATGCTGAAATAAAATTAAAATTTAAAAAAAACTCCAAAAAAGAAGGAAAATGAAGAAATTCAAAAGGATGAAATTGCTGTAGAAGGTTAAAGAAGAAGGACCCAAGAGAAAGATGGGTAACTACTTTGGGACTGTAATTAGAGAAAGCCGGATTGTTCTCTGAAAATTGAAGTTTGTGCTCTGGAAATCTATAAAATCGCCATGGCAAGGTGGAACATGGAGAGGTAGTTAAAACCGTTACGCTTGTGGAGTTAGAGCTGCATTGGATAAGTCATAAGTGTTGCGTTGGGTTGGGTGAAAAGAAAATTGGGCTTGAAAGCTTTGTCCAGACAGAATGCTATAAAGCCATTGGGGGCCTAAGGAAATGGCCTTAATGTTTCTTTTTTCTTTTTTCTTTTGTTTTTTTCTGGTCTCATATCTTATACAATGTTTGAAGATCTTTTTAATTTTTGTAAATTTGACAGCCATTTTTATTTTTTATTTTATACCAGAAAGAACATGAAAAGAAAAAAAAAAAACATACAATTGTCACAAGCAGTAGAATTCTATAGTGAGGACCTTATCTATAATCCTTAGATGATCTCCTATCTTTTAACCGTTAAATTAAAGTGGTTAATTTGATTCATCGATTAAGAGATAAGATCTAATGTAATATCCTTAAATAAGGCCCTCACTAAAGAACGACATCGTCACAAGTATTTGCTCTTTTCAGGAAATTAATTTCAACACAGCCTGAGAAGTATATAGCCCATTGACCCAACCAATGAGCAGCTCTATTGGGAGTTCGGAGGTCCAACAAGATTTTTTTTTTTTTTTTTCAATTAACAAGAGAAAAGCATCCTTTGACATAATAATGGGAACACTAACTCCTAGTGGTGTTGGTTCGAAGGTTGGTACCACATTCTCTACAAAACCCAAAATAATAGGAAGAGATTCTATTTGCACCCAATTTTTTACTCCTAGTGGTCTTGGTGTTTTCTTTTCATATGTACCTATTATTTTTATGCGAGTGATGTACCTCATATACATTTTACCTATTATATGTACCTATTATATATTATGCTGATATTATACGTTTTACATACTATGCTGAAATGTAAAATCAAAATCCACTCAACTCCAAAACCCAAATCAAAATCCTAAATAATATCTGAAATTTCATGGATCCTTTTTAACTTGAATTTTATGCAACAATTTCATAATTAAATTCGTAGGCACTATGACTGACGAAGACTTCGACTTGCCTCCATCCCCGCTTTCTTTAGCTCAAGTTATTCCGCTAATCAGACCCAATGCTACACAGAGAAGCCAAGAACTCGGAATCATGGTGAGGAGAGCTCGGACTCGGAGGGCCCAAGACGAAGTCCCAACTTCAACATAGGTTTATGGGGTATTTATAGGGTGTTGAGTAGAGGGAAGAATTAAACCTTGCTTGTATACAAAGGGGAAGGATCTCATTTTAATTTATGTCGTGTGTCACCCAAAAGTCAGAGTCGACTCTGGATATATTCGAACTTGAGTGCAATGGCACATTATTTTGATCAACTGGCATGTCTGACTTATGCGCTTTCAATGTCAACTTGCTTGCATATGCCCCTTTGGTTTTTGTATATATGCACTGCAATCATCATCTTGGGCGTTGAATATCACATGGTTCTTTAACATAATGCAAATTGCAATCATCATCTTGTAAACATTAATTATAGCAACTGGACAGTAATGTCAACCCTGGCAGAATTAAAGAAATTTCTTTAAACACAAAGATTATCTTGATCTTTGCAATATAAAAAATGTATAATGGGTAATGGAATCCAGCACGTTAACTGATCAAATTGCAACTTTCATCTAACTAAACTGAACGAAGTTGACTTTAGACTTGCATTTTGCATATAAGGCTACTAATTATAGCTTCGGTGCATTAATTGAGAGAAAGAGAGAGATATGGAGTGCATTGACATCTTCTTCTTCTTCTTCTTATGTTGCTGCTGCTGCTGATACTGATACTGATATCCCCCCTCTGCAAGAAAAGTATGACGTGTTTATTAGTTTCAGAGGTGAGGATACCCGCCGTACTATTCTCAGCCATCTCAGTGTTGGTTTATGTGGGAAGAAAATCGAGACCTACATAGACGACAGGCTTGTGAGAGGAGATGAAATTGCACCTGCCCTTCTTGAAGCAATCGAGAGATCAGCAATTTCGGTAATCATTTTCTCAAAAAACTATGCCTCTTCTACTTGGTGTCTGGATGAACTTGTGCATATACTAGAATGCAAGGAAAAAAAATGGCCAGTTGGTTATACCCATTTTTTTCGACATCAGCCCATCAGATGTACGGAATCAACGGGGGAGTTATGCACCTGCACTTCGTCAACTTGAAAAACGTTTCATAGACAGTATCGACAAGGTGCATAAGTGGAGGGCTGCTTTGACGCAAGCATCTAATCTAGCTGGGTTTGATGATTCAGAAAAAACAGAGTAACTAATTCTGTAACTCGTATTCATTTCTAGTTGTGTGTGTGAGAGAAAAACCCTGTAGTTTAGACTATCGCTTATACTATAAAAAAACCCATAACGGCCACCATAGTCAACTTTTAAATTTTTTAAATAAAAAAAAACCGAGTATTTTGGTGAATGACAATAGTGCAAGTGTGTGTGAGAGAAACCCCCAACCCTGTAGTTACTAAAAAACAACCCATAACGGTATTTTTTTTTTGGTGAAACCATAACGGTATTTTGGTGAATGACAATAGTGCAAATACAAATAAATTTTTTTTTAGTTGCTATTTTTAACCATCATTAAATAATCTAATGGTACATCTCTTTTCAAATATCGTAACTATATTTACTTAAATTGAAGATTTTTCATGGTGTGTTTATCCAGATTGTAATTTTGGTTAATAAATCGCAACCATGTTTGCTTAAGTTATAAAATAGCCATATCCAAATTTCCCAAAGTGCAGGTTGGATTCAAAATACCTCTAACTAGAGTAGTAGGGGTGATAAGATGATTGCTTTAAATTTCATGTCCCAATCAGTGATGATATTTAGTCAAGCATAATTAGAAGAAAAGGCAAGTTTTGAATAGAGCGGCGCATAATATTGCGGCGTTTGTGTCCAAGTACGACACTTATCACTAGTGGAATGTAGTAGTGCTTGAATGATTGTTTAATACTCTTGCCTCCCATGTAAATGATTTCATTCGCTTATCGTTTGACAAAAATAAAATCTGTAAATTTCAAGGAAATGTAATTTTCAAGCGAAAGTTTTAAACCTTGATGCTTTTACGTGGCACATTTCCCAATCGTCCTTTTAGGTTTGCAGTTTCTTCTAAGGCACCCTTTCATCCATCACTCTCCCTAAACCTTTTCCTAGTTTGCTTGAGATGAATACTTGCCTCTGTGTGTGCTTGGCAACTAGTGGCTAACTTTTCAATCTGTTAGGTGAAAATTAAAGTTGAAACAAGAAATGACCATAAAGATAATGGGAAATTTCATATTTTGCATCCCCATTAATTGGAGCTTAATTGAAAGGACTTACCATCACACAAAATGATTTCATCATGAAGCACAGAATGCTAGAGCTCTATAGTTTCACTTATGGATTCCTTGTGTCGGCTTAAACCCAAAAAATAAAAAATAATGCAAAAATCTATCATTTTTTAACTTCGTAGAATAGGAATTTTTCAACACCGCGAAAGTCTATAACTTAAAACAAATCTACAAAGTAAGGGACTTATAGCTCAGTCGTTAAGAGCTAAAAGAAAAAATCAGATACATTAAGAGCAAGGGGCTCGTATGATAATCAGATGCATAATTCTTTTTTTATATAATCGGATGCATTATAATTTTTGAATCTGGAATACAAATCCCATAATCAAAAATCAAATCAAATAATCTCCCACAAGTAAAAAGCAAGATCATTTATCATTGGGTTTGCCCTATTTTCTCTTTTCTTTTTCTTTTTCTTTTTCTTTTTGTTATAGACCAAAAGTTATTGCATCTTTGCCGTGGGGTCAAGGGTGTGGATATGGTTGGTTCATGAGTCATGAGCCTCCATGTACATGAGAAGTGCCACTGTGAGAACAAAAGAAGCTTTTGTTTTGCCTAAGCATCATCATAAAGATCATTTGGTACCACCTAAAGCAGAGAAATGGCCTGACATTCTTTCTTTCTCATTTCACAAGCAACAGCCCAGTTATAGCAAAACACATAAATAGTTCATAGTGACTTTGGCCCTTAGCCTTATAGAGCTTCTAGTATAAATAGCAACAATGCCTGCTCTTAAATCCTCAAACCAGTTATAGAGAAAAACAGTATAAACCCAAAAATCAAAGAAGCCATGAAGAACCAAATCCAAATCCTCTTGTTTCTTTCACTTTCATTTCTCCTAATTGTCCCTATTGTTACACAACAATTTGCGTGTGACCAGAAAGCTTCAACAACTAGCAAATTTGCCTTTTGCAACAGAACCTTGTCTTACGAGAACAGAGCCAAGGACCTTGTGTCACGCCTTACTCTCCAAGAAAAGGTGCAGCAGCTAGTAGATGATAGCACAGGCATAGCTCGGCTAGGCGTGCCTGCCTATAAGTGGTGGTCCGAGGCACTTCATGGTGTGTCCGATGTTGGCCCGGGCACAAAGTTTAATGGCACTGTGCCTGGTGCCACTAGTTTCCCAGCAGTGATTCTATCTGCTGCTAGTTTTAATCTGTCATTGTGGTTAAAGATGGGGCAGGTTGTGTCAACTGAGGCAAGAGCCATGTACAATGTTGGTCTAGCCGGGTTGACATATTGGAGCCCGAATGTTAATGTGTTCCGCGACCCTAGATGGGGCCGCGGACAAGAAACACCCGGGGAGGACCCGCTGGTGGTGTCGAATTATGGAGTGAATTATGTCAGGGGTCTGCAAGAAGTGAGTGAAGGAAAAAAGGCTGGTGGTGATAGGCTAAAGGTCTCAAGTTGTTGCAAGCATTACACGGCTTATGATGTGGATAACTGGAAAGGCGTCGATCGATTTCACTTTGATGCACAGGTATATACACCCTGCTAGCTAGTCTCTTCTTTTTTGATAGATTTATTTGGTCTTACAGTGACATCTTGATTCAATATTAGGAAAAGTTTGGAGGAACTTTAGTAAATAAGGGGAACTTGTTCTTCTGTGGCTTGATATTCTCACAACAAAAAGAAAGAAAAAAAAGATGGGGTAATCATATTACATTATTTTCCTTAATTATTGATTTCAAGAAGAATAAATGATATTTATATTCACAAGGGGATCTATCTTTTTTAAAATGCCAGGAGTTTTTGTTATAAACAACTATTTTCTTGGGTCAATACTCAATGGAGATTAAAAAAAAAAAGCATTAATCATATTTTATATTCATAATTCATCTTTCTTAAGACACAAGAAAGTTAGGGTACAAATGACCATATTCTTGCTGCTGGAGTGAATTGCAGGTGACAAAGCAGGACCTGGAGGATACGTATCAGCCACCCTTCAAAAGTTGTGTAGAGGAGGGCCATGTCAGCAGTGTGATGTGTTCATACAATAGGGTCAACGGGATTCCCACTTGCGCTGACCCGAACCTCCTCGAAGGGGTAATCAGAGATCAATGGGGTCTTGATGGGTAATTTTCTTGCCTCTCAAGCTTTAGAGGTGTAATTTAATCTTAGCTTATGCAAATGTGATCCTAAATTTTCAATTTCATCAACAATAGCTGGTTTTTATCACCTAACCCTTATGGTCCTTGTGCCTGACGGACTGTTCTTTTTTTCTTTTTTTTTGTGCTCGTATGAGCAGATATATTGTTTCAGATTGCGACTCAATCGAGGTATATTATAATGCCATCCATTACACTGCAACACCTGAGGATGCTGTAGCCCTTGCCTTGAAAGCAGGTACTGGAATTGCAGCCAAAAAGTTGTGAGCATTTTGTGAGAAATCAAAAGTACATCAACAAGAGCTTTATAATTGATCTTACATCATGTGTTACAATGTGATCATGTAGGTCTGAACCTGAATTGTGGGAAATTTTTAGGACAGTACACAGAGAATGCGGTTAACTCAAAAAAAGTGGATGTATCTGTGATAGATCAATCCTTGATATACAACTACATAGTATTGATGAGGCTTGGATTCTTTGATGGTGACCCTAAATTGCTCCAGTTTGGAAAACTTGGTCCGTCTGATGTGTGCAGCAACGATCACAAGAATTTGGCACTTGATGCTGCTAAGCAAGGCATAGTTTTGCTAGACAACAAGGGAGCTCTTCCTTTGTCCTCCAAAAAAATCAATAACTTGGCTATTGTTGGACCTAATGCAAATGCCACTGATGTTATGATAAGCAACTATCAAGGCATACCATGTAGCTATACTAGCCCTTTACAAGGGCTACAGAAGTATGTCTCTGCCTTGAAATATGAGCCCGGGTGTAACAATGTGAAATGTACTGAAGAGAGCCTTATTGAGGCAGCGGCTCAGGCTGCTGCCACAGCTGATGCAGCAGTGGTGGTAGTAGGACTGGATCAGTCCATTGAAGCAGAGGGGCTAGACAGAGAGACCTTGACATTACCAGGGTTTCAAGAGAAGCTTGTAAACCAAGTTGTTAATGCAACAAAAGGAACAGTCATTTTGGTTATTATGTCAGCTGGCCCAATTGATGTTTCTTTTGCCAAAAATGTGACAAAGATAGGAGGGATAATTTGGGTAGGATATCCAGGTCAAGCTGGAGGAGATGCCATAGCTCAAGTCATATTTGGAGACTACAATCCAGGTTAATTTTGACCCTCTTTAATCTCTAAAGTGTTTCAATATGAGATTAGGCTTCAAATAATGGTAAAATTTGTCTCAGGGTTATCGATTTGTTTAACTGATCATAAGTGGTTTTTTTTTTTTACCACAATGTGTAGCTGGAAGAACACCTTTTACATGGTACCCTAAGGAGTATGCAGACCAAGTGCAAATGACAGACATGAACATGAGGGCCAACACAAGCAGAAACTTCCCTGGAAGAACATACAGATTCTACACTGGCAAAACCATCTATGAGTTTGGCCATGGCCTAAGCTATTCAACATTCACCAAGTTCATAATATCAGCACCTTCCATTGTGCGCATCCACTCAACTCCCATTTCCAGCCCACATGTTAGCCTTCTTGTTTCCAACTCCACCACTGAACCGGTTTTGAATCCTGCTTCCAGAAGCCCCTTCATTGACATATCAAGAGTGCAGTGCCAGAAACTAAAATTTGACCTAGTTGTTGGTGTGACGAACAACGGACCAAGGGACGGAGGCCACGTGGTGCTAGTGTTCTGGAAACCGGCAAGCTTGGGGACGTTGGTTGGAGCACCAAACCTGCAGCTGGTGGATTTTCAGAGGGTGGAGGTGAAGAACAGGCAGGCAAAGCTTGTAACCATGAGGGTGGATGTGTGCAAGAGACTGAGCCTTGTGGATAGAGAAGGAAAGAGGAAGTTGGCCACTGGAAAGCACACAATTCTGGTTGGTTCTCCTAGTGAGTACCAAGTGAAGCACATTCTCAATTTTAGGCTGGCTAGTAAAGCAGAAGCGAGGGAGGCTTTTTAACTTTATAATTAACAACATCTAATTAGCTATTTACTTGCAGCTAGTAAATAAGCAAAATAGCTCTGCAACAGTAAGAATCATATGATAGAGATTTACTATTTCAAGGGTGTAATGCAAATTTTATTGTAAAAAGATCTATAAAGTGAGGATACAAAAAAAAAAAAGTAAATAAAAGGATTGGTGTATTTCTATCTCGGGCTTTGAATTCTTCTGGAACATGTATAACAAAAGTTGTCCTACCATGAAAAATATGCAGACCAATAATGTGGCATTCTGTGTGCAGCTAAACTGAAGCTACACATGAGAAATTCATGCTTGACAGACAATCGTAGATGAACGTGTGGATCGCACAGTGTGTATCCCACTCATGAATAGTTCAATACAACATGCATGCGTGAACGATTAATGTTAGCTAAATTCCTTAGAATTGTACATGTCATGTTCGCCGTTATCTAATAGATAAATATATTTTAAAGTTGGATGCACTCAAAAACATCTTGATTACTTTGTTTCAAGTTTCAACTACCCTTCAACCAGCTCACTTTTTGGCCAAGCTTCTTGTTTGAGACCATTTCAGCATAATTCAATTCACATTAATGCTTGATAGTTATGTGTATCAATCAAATTCAGCTACGTACCTTTGACTTTAATTAAGGTCTTGGGTCCAGATTTGGGAGTTTTGGAAAGCACAGGGAAACTCCCTCTACCTGTATATGTCATGCACATTCCTGAAAGAAAACCAATGATTAGCAAAAGGCCCCTTATGCATTACAAAACCAATAAACAAATCACAATTGTGAAAACTACAAGCATCTCTCTATGAATTGAAGCATTTAAAATACAAAAAGTTGTTAGCACCATACTTAATTGCAATAAACTGTGGGCAAAGCCCATCATTTCCATTAATTGCTATTAAATGTCAAAGAAAGATGAACCAATTTGTGTTTTAAAAGTTAAAGAAAATAAATTTAAAAAATGGGTTAAGACTCCCTCTGTAAGTCCTCAAAGAGATCTTGGTATGTCCTGGTTCAGAGATGGGGTAACATCCGCTTCCCGTAAACCTTTGCTCATGCAAAATGAAAAAAATTCAAAGAAAACACAAACAAACAAACCAAATGAGTTTTGAGTTCTTTAATTTTGTTCTAACTTCATTCAAGCACGAGTTCATAGTGCCAAAAGTTGCCAAGCCCCCAATACCAAGTCAAGAAAATAATACTAGGTCAAGCAAAATATATTTAAATTTTCTTTCTTTAGCTAGTGGGATTTATCTGTTTAATCCTTTTCGATCCAATCCATTTGAATTTTACGCGTATAGCCGCCTAACCCTACTGGATTTATTTGGATTATGCCAATGTAGCTAAGCTAGCTATGCCAACATATGCTTCACAAAGTCAAAAAGCTCAAAGCCATCACAATCCCGCCAATTGTCCCACGACACGCTATCCTGTTTCATATCGAAAAGTCAAACATGAAGACCCTACGTTTCAAAGAAAACCCAGATTGAAATTACCCTCAAGTCCCCAACAGAAGCACAATATTTTCCCCTAGTCAAAGGGCACGACCGTCATTTCACATATATTACCTGCCTTACTTGCACCGGTTTCCTTCACGTTGCGCCTCCCGGCAAAAGTAGTATATAAGTCTTTGCTTCTCCAGGACTTTGTATCACATACATTATATCAAGATTCAAAAGCACCAGAGCTAGATCAATTATTATCAACAACAAGACAAGAAGAAGAGAAAGAAGAGGCAAAGCCAAGCAAACAGAATGGAAGGCTTAATTCCATTTCTTTTTCATGCCCTGAAGAAGCAAAGGCCACAACACAGGTATAGGTCCTTTTCTCAGAGCAACTCCTCCAACCGCAGCTATCATCTCCTTATGAGTGGCCAGGATTCATTAGAGGGCTCCTCTCATCGCCGGACACGATCCGAATTTCAGCCTCCTGTTAGTACCGCTGGCTTCTTTGAGCAGCGGCCGGGAAATGAATTTGTTCATTCGCGGAGCCTCAAGGAAGAAGGTGGTGTTTCTGCTGCTCCTTCGGTGCTCATTGGATCATCAAAGATGGGTGCCTATCCTTACCAGGTCTCTAATGTGGGTATGGCTAAAAGGAAATGAAAGATTCAATCCGAATAATATTTCATTGATTTTTTGTTTTTCCTTTTGGTATAAGAACGAAGTGTTCAATCCAATGCTTGTAGTTCAGTTCTTGTAAAAGTTTAATGTTAATTGAGCAATGATAATGTATTTTAATTGTTAATAATATTGGTCAACTGTAGATTCTGAGATTGATTGTCTTGTGTGCTTGTTTTTATTATAATACAATTGATGTAACAAAGGGTCAAGCAGGAGCCACGTGATAGTGTATAGATTTTTTTTATTTAACGAGAAATTATTTTATAAAACTATTTTTACAACGGAATAATTCACCTGCAACAAAATTACGTGCATTATTCCAATGAGTTAACCACTATTAAGAATTAAATTTACCGCAAAAATATACCGTCATCGTATTTATGTGAGTTAAACTTTACATTATTCCAATGAGTTAACCACTATTAAGAATTAAATTTACCGCAAAAATATACCGTCATCGTATTTATGTGAGTTAAACTTGAATCATGTTCCAACTAAATTGGGATGGAATAGGCCGAAGACTAATAAGTCAACTTATATATGTGGTGTACTGATAGTTACCCAAAGAAACCCCGGTATCTTATTATAAACAAAGGGTAAAAACGTCATTACAGGTATATGACCTGCCGGCGAAGGCAAGTTGTAGAATAAGTCTTTCCTTCTTGAGGACTTTGTGACGCATAAATTTCAAAGAGGTGCAGAGCTCCAATAATTTTTTGTGGTCAGCAACAACAAGACAAGAAGAAAGAAGAGGCAAACTTAGCGATGGATCTAGGCAGGCAAAAAATGGAAGGCTTAATTCCATATCTTTATCGCGCCATCAAGAAGCAAAGACCTCAACGCAGGCACCGGTCATCCATTACTGAGAGCATCTCCACCCATGCTAGTTACCATCGCTTGATGAGTGGCCATGATGTCTTAGAGGGCTCATCTCTTCGTCGAACACCGCCGGAAGTTATTCGTTCGCGTAGCTTCGAGGAAGAAGGTGGTGCCTCTGCTGCTCCTCCAGGCCACATTAGATCATCAAAGTGTTCAAAGGTGGAGCTTCAGTCATAACGGTGCAGTTCATTTCTTGTAAGAGTTTCATGTTCTATCAATGATATTGAATTTTGATGCTTAATGTTAGTGAAATTGAAACTTTGAGAGATGATTAAAGCAGTGATTTAAATTTGGGATGATTTGAAATTTGAATGTCATAATGTTTGTTTGTTTGTGTGCTCCTACAATTGCCAACCAAGCACCAAGTAACAACCATGCCCAAAATGGCATTGGATTTTTCTGTCAAAGTTGTCAATGATGCAATGTCATTATCCCACCTAAACTAAAATGGACAGATTTGGACCAATTAATTGCAAAACAAAAGAAAGGAAAAAACTAAAATGGGGTTGCTAGGGACTAAAAACAAACAATCCGGCGTTTAATATCCCACCTACCTATAGAAAAATTAAATCCTTGTAAGAGGTTAGGGTTTTGAATCCAAGATCGAGATCCAAAGGTTTGAAGGGGTCTGAGGTTTGAGTTTGATCTCATGTTAATGAAACATGGCATATGTTAGTATGTTTTAGCACGAAAATAATCTTATTCAATTTAATCAATGTTGTTCCATCTCTCTTTTGTGATAATTTTATTTGTATTGTTTTGGCTTAGTTTCAAGCTTTATCTTTTTTTTTTTATTGTTCTGAGTTTGCAATGTTAGTTGGGATGCCTATGCTAGAGTTTCTTCGGTCCTGCGTGATTGTTAGTGGAGACGCACCAAGTTGTCTTAATTTTAATGTTAGATTTCTCCAGACTCCATTATTGTAATGGTGCTTTATGGCTAGTTTGTATTGACCATTTGTCGGTGTGGCAGAGCCACTCCTAGGCCTGGAGTGGCCCTGACCCCTCCAAATTTTTATCTCTCCTCTATTATATTATATATAATATATAGAATTTGTAATAAACCACTTATAATTTAAGTTAAAGTTCCCTCTAAAACAAATTAGACATAACTAAATTAGAAATATTTAGCTCTAAACATGTAATTATTGAATACTTATGTATTTTATACTTCGACCCCCCTAACTTTACAATTCTAGCTCCACCCATGCCCTTTGTGGCTAGTGACTTTTTTAACTCAATTATGAATGCAAATTCTAGAATTTCTCAAAAAAAAAGAAAAAAAAAAGGTAAGGATCCAATTGATCCAATCTAGCATGCCAAACAAAACATTAGCATTCATCATGATATATATAATTAGTAATCACTCATTAATACATAAACTTTCAAAGGAGAATAGCTGAGTTCCCGTCTACCCTCACTACTACAAAAAGGGCAAAAGACGACCAGAAAAAGACGACGGTAGAACAAAAAACCGTCGTTGTTTTTAAAAAGACGACGGTAACAAAAAACCGTCGTGGATAAGTGACTTAAACAACTAAAAAATGGAGATACTGTTGAGAATATTTTTATAACGACGCACACAAATAAAAAAGCGTCGTCTTATTAAAAGGCTTTTCTTCAGAGTTAAAATCTGACCAAAAAACAACGACAGCAGGTATGACAAGCGTCGTCTTTTAAAAATCAAGTGTCCTTTTTTTGGTAAAGACATGGTTGTTTTGAAAGAACTGTCGTCTATTATATGTAAAGATGACGGTTTTTTTTATAAAAAGGGTCGTCTATTATTAAGTAAAGACGACGGTTTTTTATAAAAAAGGTCATCTATTATTAAGTAAAGACGACCCTTTTTATATGAAAAGGGGATAAAAAGGGTCGTCTATTATTAAGTATTTTATATTTAAAGGGTCGTCTATTATATGTAAAGACGACGGTTTTTTTATAAAAAGGATTGTCTATTATTAAGTAAAGACGACGGTTTTTTTATAAAAAGGGTCGTGTATTATGAAGTAAAGATGACAATTTTTTTTAAAAAGACTCGTCTATTATGAAGTAAAGATGACGGTTTTTTTTTAAAAAGGGTCGTCTATTATGAAGTAAAGATGACGGTTTTTTTTTAAAAAGGGTCGTCTATTGTAAAGTAAAGATGACGGTTTTTTTAAAACGGTTATTTCAACTCTGATTTTGATGATTTTTTACAGCTACACTCCTTGACCCTATATGAATACAATGACTGCATTCGATCATCAATTTAAAATATTTACACTAGTGGATACCACAAAATCTTATGCTATAATTAATAAAAGTATAAATAAACTCTTAATTGTTACTGAATATATTGTTTTGATGGCATACGCATTCTACGAAACTAGTTTCAACGATCCAACCGTCAAATTTGTTTGTTTACACTTCGAGATCATATACACCAAAAATCGGAAAAAAATAAATAAATCAGAGATCAAGTAACAGGACAAAACATTTCGACGGTTATAAACGAAAAATCAAGATTTAACGGTTATTTCAACTCTGATTTTGATGACTTTTTACAGCTACACTCCTTGACCCTATATGAATACAATGAACCAATTCGATCATCAATTTAAAATATTTACACTAGTGGATACCACAAAAACTTATGTTATATTTAATAAAAGTATAAATAAACTCTTAATTGTTACTGAATATATTGTTTTGATGGCATACGCATTCTACGAAACTAATTTCAAC